TGGAGATCATTAAATTGCAACACAATGGTATATAAAATGGTATTCATAATTATTTAGGTTATGGACTATGAAATTTATGTTTGATCAGTTTTGTATCAAATAGCAACACAATGGTATATAAAATCGACAGCGGTTTCACGGCTTCAGCAGCAGCTCTAATTTTCGATGAATGGTACAACAGGTGGAAGGATTTTTCAATGGCCATGATTGAGCACTATGATTGAGAAGCTAATCAAGTTGCTGATGAGCTAGCTCGGCAAGCTCTTGTTTCTAAAGATTTTTGTATTTGGGTTGATTCACCCCCATGTTTTATCATTTCAGTTTTAGCAAACAATGTAAGCTATTATCTGATGAATAAAAGTTTGACGATTGGCTTTGTAAAAAAAATGGTATTCATAATTGATCATAGCTAATAGAAAGCATTAAATAACTTGCAGATTGTACGGGCTGTCTATTTAGCCGTTAGTATTCAGATTGTACGAGCTGTCTATTTAGATTGTCTATGGCTCTTACCCATAATTATTTATTAATTCATATGATATTCTATTTTATTGTAATTTTTCATATATACGAGGTAGAGTGGGGAATACTCTCTCATATCTTTGTCTCTATGTTTTTTTTTTCAAAGAGAGGGCCACGTTGAAAATTCAAATAGGTGCATTAGATTTATCAAGTATTGACGATTAAAACAATATATGTTATTAATCTCACCGTTGCAAATTATAAATCATTCTGAGATTAAAATTCTAATTACTTAATTGTCTTGAACTTATGGGAGTACTCATGCGAGTTAGATATCATATATCCAACCAACATACGAAGACTGATTCTAAAGTGTATTAGAACAATGACACAACATATAAATCCAGTTACAATGCACGAACATATTTGATATTTGCTAGTACAGTACATATATGACTAGTTGACTACGAAGAGCAGCACCGGCCAGAGGCAAGCAAAAGGAACAGGTCAACGACTGGAGTAGTGCTCGACTGCTGGTGGGTGCCGGAGCCGCAGCCGGGGCTGGTTATTGTGGAGTGCGGATGGCGCGACCCGGACTCTCGGAGTTGGGGGGATGAGAACGCAGGGAAGACCGATGAAATGGCTTGCGAACGCACAGGACAAAGAAGACTGGTGGCCTGCGGCTGCGGAGGTGGAGTTGCGATCTTGCGGAGACCAGTGGCAGGGCCAGAGATTATGGGCTATTCTGTAAATAGCATATGGACTTAAAAAAATAGAAAAAGTCCATCTCCCTGAACTCTAAAATCAGGTAAATCACCTCATGAACTTTTGAAACCGTTCGTTTTACCTACCTGACCGGTTATAAGAGATTTTCAAAGTCGGTTTTGTCTTTTTCTTTTTTATTTATTTTACTTGAATCTTTGAAAAATCATAATAAATCACAGAAAAACTACAAAATAGAAAATCCAATTTTGTTGAACTCCACATGAGTAGATCTCAACAGTGAACATATGCTTTAGTAAAATTTTTTATTGCACCTTTAGATATATGTTTTTCTGTAATTAATTTATAATTAAAGTTTCTACTGTCCAATTATAGTGAAATTTTTATGATGGTCTAATTATTATATTCTTGAACTGTAGTAAAAATTTCATACTCATTGGATCACGTATAACTTAGTTATAGATTTATAAATACTTTTTTAACAAGCATACACCTAAATAAATCTATAACTAGTTATACTTGATCCAATGAGTATAAAATTTTTACTACATTTCAACATACAATAATCAGCCCGCCATAAAAATTTCACCACAATTGAACCATAAAAACTGTAGCTATGAATTAATTATATAAAAACATAAATGTAAAGTTACAGCAAAAAAAATTATACTAAAGCATAGCATATTATATGTTTTTTCTATGTAGATCTACTCATGTTGTCGGGTTCATAAACCCGGGATCCCTAATGTACCCGCTTCCCAGTAAAAGTTCAGCCCAGCAGACGACATTACAAACGACGCGTAACTCTTAGGCCGGCCCAGATACCTAACGACAGGCCGGAAAGAGCGATCCAGTCTCCGACTGGAAGGCCTGGCCAAGGAGAGGACGATGCTCGCTTCCGACTCCGACCCGCTTCTCCGACCGGAAGGTCTGGCCAAGGAGGGGACGACGCTCGCTTCCGACTCCGACCCGCTTTTTCCGACCGGGAATACACCGAACCTTTGCTTATGGCTCTTGACCGGCGCGGTCGGAGCCGACTGGGAACAACCGACTGGGACGCCCGTTCGGTGAGGACCCAAGAATCAGGCGGAGCAGATAAGGCAAGGCGCTCAAGTCAACCGCAATACCGAGGACAGTGCCCTGCACACATGCAGGACAATACCGCCAGACCATGCCAGATGGGTACTTTGCGACCTTTTAGACATGTCAGAACACGAACAGTGTTGCGAGCGCCGACATTTGTCCTACAGTATGGTAGGCGCCGACATTTGCCATACCAGAAGAACACGATGGAGCCTGCCACCTGCATCTGGGAGTCAACAGTATTATGGGCGCCGACAAACTGACTTACTCGACGGCGTGGGCAACAAGACTAGAAAACACACGCTCTCTTTCTCTCTAAACCTATAAGATCACCCCCTTCACCTATAAAAGGGGATGCGCTCTCTCCCAACAGAGAAGACGGATCATTCCGACTCCCTCTCTGCTAACTTTAGACGTTTTGAGCACTCGAACAACTTTCACGGCTCTAGAACTCTAAAGCTACACAGAGCATACGTTTCAATACTTAGCGCACGTAGGAGCTTCCGTCACTCTCAGCTCCTCAGTCCAGAGTCCGACCGGACCTCTAACACCCCCCATCTTATTCCCACTCGTTTGTAACCCCACGGCAAACTTCGAGCACCTAGGCTCAGGAATAAAGTCACCGACCGACTCAAACTGGACGTAGGGAATGTTGCCTGAATTAGTATAAACCCTGTGTCATTGAGTGCTAGGCCACATCCGATCACAACGTACGGTAAAATGACAAATATTTACTTGTTGACCACTTTTCGCACCGACAGTTGGCGCCGTCCGTGGGGAGGACGCCGTACGTTCACGCTTTCGGTCATCGGATGGCCCACCTTTCCGCCATGTTCGTCATGGCGGGCTCAAGCGATACGACTCGCTTCGGCTCGCTAGAGTTTCCCACACTCCCACCTGTTGGGATGTGGGTTCCTCCCGTTTTTGAGCCATCCCAGACCTTCCTCTTCGGAAGCCTGGACTTCATCGCCGGCCGGCTCAGCATGCTTCGCCTCCGTGAGGAGGCACTTATCCCTCCGACGGGCGCCGGGACACCCGGTGACCTCAACAACGAGACACCTACGCTTCGCTTTGAGCCCACGCTGGGCTCAAACCCCACTGTGAGTAACGTACATATTGTTCTTTACTCACTATTTAATATCTTCCGTCGACTCTCCGGAGGGACCCCATAGTCTCCACCATAACCGCCATGCAACCGGTTCCCCGACGGCCTCACGTCCCCCGTGGATGCGTACGCACGGGGGCTCCGAAAAATGCTAACGCCGCCCCCTCTCACATCTGAATTCGTGGGGATGGCGGGCTACACTCCCGCCTCTTTCCACGACCTCGTGGATGACGAGGTTCAAAGCGACGGCTCCAACATCGGCGACGTCGTGACACCTAGCCACCCTCTGTCCCAGGAGTGCGCTATGGCGGACGCTCCGGGACAGCCGTCGGTGGTAGCAGAGTCCCTACAGACTCACACCCCTCCGAACCCTCGTGCGGATGCCCTCACGCACGTGCACAGGAGCACGGCGAGGAGTTACGACAAAGGCGGCAGAGCCAGCCACCACCTGCGCCGGCGCGCTCGGCGCAGCACGATGCGCCACGCGCACGTAACCCGGCGAGCAGCGCCCGGGGTCGCGCCCGCCAGGTCCAGTGCAACATCATTGACGGGGGAATGATCCCCCACAGTTTGCTCGTCTGGCCAGAACATCGCCGCTGCGGTGATGCTTCTACGTGGCCTTCCAGATCCTGTCAACCCCTAGGGGCAGGCGATCCACCAGAACCTCCGGGCGCTGGTGGAAACCGCCGCCGTTCAACAGGCGGAGAGCTCCGCGTCGCGACACCGACTCGCGGCCTCTCTCCCCACCGGGGGAATGGGGGCGCACCAGTAGAATCGCTCTATCCGCTCACCACTACAGTCGCCGGCCGCGGAACAGGAGGCCACAGCTACACCACGGCCTGACCCGGCGCCCGCTCCACACCGACCACCTGTGCGCGAACGGCTCGGGCCGAACCGAGACGCTCGCAGCGTCATCAACAATCGGCGTCAAGCCCGGCGTGATGATGACGTCCATCATAGGGCGGTGAGAGCAGGCGGCACAGGCTCCGGCTGGACCATCGATGGGAGCGGGGAAACGCACCCCAGGCATGGTTGCCGACCGGACGACCGGAGTCCCAGCCCGGACGGCCTGGGACCACGGGCCTTTGGCCATCGCATCCAGAAAGCGTCGTTCCCACAGCGTTTCCGACCGCCTACCAATATCGCCAAATACACCGGGGAAACGAATCCCAGTATATGGCTCGAAGACTTCCGGCTCGCCTGCCGAGCCGGAGGAGTGGATGCTGACCATTTCATCATTCAACCGGTCTAGCTTCCGTTGGCTAATAAACTTATCTAAAAAAGATATTATTTTCTATGTATCTAATCAAATTTGGACAAATTTGATTCTTCAGCCAGCAAGATGTGCTATTATTTTTAGACGAAGGGAGCCGATGCCAATCTGTCAACACGCGATCACCAAACTAACCTCAAATTAAGCAATCAACATGGACCCATTCCTTCATCCCCAGAGATTTTAATCACAAAATGTCTTCTCTATCGCGCACAGTTTCGGATACGTAAGATAAATGCAGAAACAGGGATTTAAAAAATCGGTCTCATCTCATGCATGTCTCCTTTAAAATGGTGGGTCTCCAGGAACTAAATAAAGAAGACAAGCAGAGACGACGATGCTCACGCTCATCTGCTACCTCGTACACCTCTGCATCTCGTTCTCGTTCGACGAGGCGATAAACTCAGCGCAGGCATGGCCGAGAGCCTCGCAGCGATGCCGATCGGCTAAAGCTGCCATGTCAGCCACATCCTCGACGCCAATGCTCTCGCAGAGACTGGCCTCGCACATCAGCTTCAGCCTCTCCATGGCGTACCTATCCGCAGCCACAAGCAGGTGCCTGAGCATCTCCTTCCTCTCACCGGCGTCGAGCTCGTCCATTGCGGGCATCGTGTCCGTGTAGACGAAGTGAAGGAGCGCTCCAAAGACGTCCGGGTGCATGTCCTCGATGGTCACACACTGACTTGTGCTCTCAGCCGCCACAGCCACCGGCCCAAAGAACTCGGCGCTGAACACCGGCGACCGCATCGCGAGTATGATCTTGTGGGCAGGGAAGACCTCGTCTTGGACCTTGAAGGTCACATCGGCGCCTTGTTTCTCCTGCAGCAGCCTCCGTAGGTTGTCCGACAGGTCCGAGGGCGGCACTCGAACGACGACCTCGAAGCCGGGGCTAATGGCGGCGGCGGTCTTCTTCACTCATGGTTTGCCCATTGGAACAGTGACGTCGCACTCTATCACCAGGCAATCATCGCGCAGGAACGTCGACGACGACGCTTCCAGCTCGCTCCTCTTCTTGAGCTTGGGCAAGCCCCATGCAGAAACCGCAGACGGGTTCTTGGTGACGTCGGAGGTGAAAGCCTTGGGACCCTGGTGGAGCAAAACCGTGGACTGTACGGTGGCCTGGTCGACCAACCTCAAGTCGAAGCTTGCCATCACCTCGGCGACGTCGGTGCTCATGAGCTCGAGGAAGGCTGCCGCGTAGTCCGCCGACGATTGCAACCCGTCGGGGTAGAAGCGGATGGACCAGTCGTAGCCGCCGACGCCGAAGGTGGAGGACCTGACGAGAAGCTGCCGATGCCGAGGCCCCTGTGCAGGCTGTACCTGTCCACCTTGAACGCGTGCGTGCCCCGCGCGGTCTCTACCGTGCTCGTCGACGCCGTCCTTGTTCTTGGCCTCATGCTCATCTGGGATGCTAGCTGCTAATAGCAGCGCGAGGAAGTACCGTAACGACGGCGCTGGATGCAGTCGTGTGGATCGGATACTAGGGACCTCGATCTGAGATTTTATGGTGCCAATCGGCGCCTACTCGATCTGAGATTTTATGGTGCCATCGGCGCCTGCGTGATGAGGAGACGGGACACGGTCCCGGAAACCGGAGTCCTTTCGTTCCTCGGAGACGGTCTCCGAGTTTCGGTAGGCAAGACAGCCCGTGCAGACCGCAGCTTCCTGACGCCTTGTTTAGCTGAAGCAAAAGATACCGCCATACCAGCTAGCTCCACACTTCACCGTCCCTTATACTCACTCCATTCCAAATTATAATATGTTTTGCCATTTTAGCTTTTCTAAGATACATTAGCTATAAATCTAAAAAAACAAAATGTCTTGTAATTTGAAATGGAGTAACTATTTTTTTCAATAAAAAATTCATATTAGCTTCTGAGGCATGAGGTGATGGAAACCAAAAACTCATTTCATTTACAAACTTATAAAACAAAAAAGTGTGGAGCAAGAATATGATGGACCACTCAGTCTCTCAAACCAAACACTGAAACAAGCCTAAATAACTCAACGTAACTACTATATCTTCGTATTTCCCTGAACAGCTTACTACTACTTAACAATCAGATCATGCAAGGAGCCCGTACCATGTTCAGAACAATGTCATCGCAATTTAAAAGTGTTGAAATCAGCATCAAGAGCACAAGATTGAGAAGCAAGCTGCAGTACTTTTTTTGAAATGGTCTGCCGTACAATTGAAAGGGAAGAGGATGCCTGATCTTCTAACGAAGAATTACTTTAGACATCCAGCAACATTGTAAACGGAAGCTATTACATCTGGATGATAACAGTAAAATGGTGAGGCTGGTACAAGATTTCTTAGTAGTTACAGTGAGCTCAACCTAGACAGCAGCATTCTTATCCTTCCTCAGTCCACGCAGTGGCTTCAGACATGAAACAGTGATTTGGTCACATGGACAAAGTGCTGCCACAGTGAAACATTCCAGAACATCTCACGTCTGCACTGATCAGATTCTTGGTGCTGCATGAGTGCCAATACAAGCATCAGTACTGCAAGCTAGTGTGATTATAGGATAAGCTGGGGACAAAGAAAAGAACACACAGATCAACTGAGATTATCAGATGAAAATATCACGTACCTCCACCAATTGTGGCCTCAGGGAGCCGTTCTATCGAATACCTGTGTCTTGTGATGTACATGATTGGAACACCAGGAACCTGCGAAATTGAGAAAATGCCCATGATATAAGCATGCAAGAAAAGCTTCTTCGATACTAAAACAAGCATGTCCTGAGCTGTGAGCAGTGAACACCAAACACACCTTTCTTATCCTCCTTTTCAAATCTCTATCACAAGTAGCAACTATGTAGCATTTGTGCTGTCATGATAAAATATATGGTTTAGAACAAATAAAACAAATTGCCTAACATACAAGGTAAATAAACCAAAATAATCATCGACTAGGTATTGTGAAGGTGAACAATACAATCTAACGCAACTAAATGCACTAGCTATAACAAAGAGATCATTGCATTCCAACATGTTACCATGAACTAAGCTCAGTGCCCACATGCACATTAATCAAAGCAAAAGCCTAACCCGTAGATCTGTACATTAAGATTATAAGAGTAGTTAGAGGACACAACATCTATAGGTATAAACAGGATACCACTCACATGCAAGTTCCAATTGTTTAACTTGGAACAAAATTGGATACTACATATAGACACAATGCTTTAGACAAGCATGCAAAAAGGATTACAGGGGAGAAAACACAAGTGCTATTTTTTTGTTCACCTTGGGAACAGCTACAGTAGAATCTCGGAAGAACATAGCATTCAGCCATATTTCTCAAATATTGGGAAAAAGTAAATTCTAAAGGAATCAGCCACATATCTCAAATATTGAGTAAACAGTTTCAGCACGAGGTTTGAAATTTGAACAGCCAATGTTTCAAGAACTTGCACATATCTCTAAATTAACATTTGAGAAGGAACTAGGAATAGACGTTATATACAAATTACTTCACTTCTGTACCCAATGTCCCTGTTAACTAGCGATAATTGTAAGTCACAAGTTCTCTAGCAGGAGCTATCCTCCTAGTTGGCACTTAACAGAATACTCCCAGTACTCATGCTCCAACCAAACAAAGAGCGTTGAAGAAGGCAGAGCTTTTACCTGAGTGACCCTCTCCACGATGCAGTCATCAGCATAAGTTCCCTTGTGTGTGCATGCCAATCTTTGGAACCTAGGGTCCTTGGCGATTCTGTGAGGGAGGTAAATTAGGCTATACAGACAGATGAAAGTTATACTGAAGAATCGAATATAACAGCAAATACGTGCAATCAACATTTGTATAGGTGGAAGATGACAACAAGAGCCATAGATAAAAACCTAATTAAACCTCTATTTGAAGACAATGAAGCAGATAAGCCAAAAGAAGACATTAAAACACAGTATGGAAACAGAATCAGATAGGAGCGCACCTCAAGGCCACACGATACTTCTGTCCCAGCTTTTCAAGCTCAGCCATAACGCAGTCAGTGATACACGGGGTACCTTCATAACAAGGCATCAGAATTGAAAATATATTAAAAGCGTAGCTCAGGTCACTAGAAAGATAATGGGAATGGAAGATAACAGAGTTAAATGCTTACATTTTGCATAAAGGCAATCCATCATTCCCTTCTCCAAATCCAGCTGCATGGGGGAAAAGGAGGATTTAGTCACAAAGATGAGTGTTTAGGATATGGAAGTTAGCCCCATTAAGTGTTCTGTAGAATACAGAATTCAAAATTAACTGCAGTTAATGAATCAAATCCTGACTTGAAAGGAACATTCTTAGCACAGCATCCATATCGGATGGCAAGTCGAGACTGCTATAACATGATTCCCAGTCTCAGACTTGTTGGTTGCTGTTTGTTTTGCTATTTGCTAAAACAGTAAAATGGGTCACCATGATTCCCAGTCATATCCTAATTTGCTTAACCATTTGTTTTCAATTTCCTTAAGGTTTTAGTATCTTGTAAGAATTGGTAGCTCCAGCAATAAAAAAGTGAATTGTGCACAACCTTTCTTGTGACGATACAGCATACAGATAGATAAGCTATATGTGTCAACAATCAATTAAATCCACTGCATTAACTCAGTATCTTCAATTCTTAACTGAGGGAGTGAGGCAGTGGACATGCAAGTACACACCCTCTGGTGCATAATAACTAATTTATTGTGCAATCGGAATTAACCTTGGTCTCACGGAATTAATCAGTGGAATAGCAGAGCAGCAGATAATTCAACGACTAACCTTATTCTGTATGGAGAAGTTGATGAAGTTGGTATCCACAATCACCCGGTACGGCGGCCCCAGCGCCGTGTTGTAGCTGAAGAACAACGCCGACGAAACCTGCGGTCTGCAAATCACAGAAACAAAACGGCATCAGAAATCCAAACAAGCACAGGAAACCAAACCGAGCCCCCAAAATCCGAGCGCAAACAAGCACTCACACATTCCGGCCGAGCTTCTCCTTATCCGCGTCCTTCTTCTTGTGGTTCAGAACATCCTCCTTGTACCTATCATAAACAAAAATTAGAATTCCCGGTAGCATGAACCTAACCATAGGCAGTTGGAGATGGTTGCCTTACTTGTTGATGGTTTTCTTAGTGATAATCTTCTTCACTGCCGCGAATTTAGGGCCCTTGCCCTTTGCCTTCCCCATCTCGAGCCAAACCCTAGCACCCGCAGCTACCTCGCGCTCTCCACGGCAGGCGGCAGGAGACGGCGGCGGCGCCTGCGTCTGATGGGTCTCGAGAGGTCGGCGGAAGAGAAAGGGTTTCTTTTCGCCTCCGCAAGGGAGAAGGCGGCTGCTTGGTGGGCTCGCTCTGGTTTATGAAATGGGCCTTTTAATTCCCCTGCTCGGCCCAAGAAGTTGAGTTTGATCCGTTGAGTGCGACGAGCTGTGTTGCTCGTCCTCTGGGCCGTTGGATGTGACCATGTGGGAGTGCTGTGTTCGTTCGTCGTCGTCCTCGTCCTCGTCCTGATCCGGAGGGAGGGAGGGAGGTGGTGGGGAATGGCGGCGGCGACCGCGACGCTCCGGTGGGTGCTGCAGCTGCACCGGGACGTGCCGCGAGCGGCGCGGTTCTACGCGGAGGGTCTCGACTTCAGTGTGAACGTCTGCACGCTCCGCTGGGCCGAGCTGCAGTCAGGGCCGCTCAAGCTCGCGCTCATGCACACCAACGACAGGTGCGGCTTCTGCTGTTTGCTACCGCGCTCTCCTCCTAGTATTACCCAGTTCGTATTACTTCGAGTTTCAGATGGATGCAAATTTGGAGTTGTTCGAGGGAATGAGGTGGGGGTTAATATGGCGGTTTTCTAACTACCCCTGTGGTGTACTGGTGTTACGCGCTGCGATGCTCATGTGTTTGATGAAATGTGTGTGTGGAACACTTGGTTTTAGATGGCATTGCGACGTTAGTGAAGAAATCAATTCAATTTTCATATGATAGTTGTGTCAATTTTGGCTCCGAAAAGTACCTTGTACTGGAATTCTTCTCCTGTGGATATGATCTGGCAGTTCAAAATTTGCTCTTTTTTAATTTCTTTATTTTCCACTGGCATCTAGCAGCATAGATGAGTAGTTTGGCAGGTTAGATGGAGTGAGGACTAAGTGATTGCTTATTTGCTTTACTGCATGCTAGCCCCACCTCCCCTTGAAAAACGGTAAATTGGTCCCGTTTTAGTGTATAGGAGTGCACACCAAATGGCAAATTGAATCCTTCATTTCTGGGCATGATTTGCACTTTACAGGTTACATTGGGCTTTGGGCAGGTTGGTTTTGGTTTCGTTTTAGTGTGCAGGAGTGCAGGCCGAATGTCAATGGATCCTAAATTTCTGGGCAATGATGTGCACTTTACAGGTTACTACTGGCCTTCGAGCAAGCTCCTCCTTTTGAGTAAAAGGTTCTTTTTGTGATCAACTAGGTTAGACTTACCATAGGCATTACGTTATGTATGGAAGTCCAAGACATACTGGACAAACTTTGCGACCCTATAAACAAAACAGCTCTGAAGTGTTGGATCTGTGAGGTTGCCAATTCTTGAGAAAACATTGACCTAGCTGAGTGATACCCTACAATCCAAACATTGAACGAAAATGATACTTTTAGTCTTCAATACATTTCAATCTTGCTAGGTCAAAGTAGTGCATGAAAACAAATGATTACGGGTTAAAATGAATTGTCCTCCTTGGAGCTTTTCTCAGTTTTTTGCGATGACTTCAAGTTTCATCATCATATAAATATAAGCTAGAGAAATCTCATATGGACAATGGAGATACTTTCTTGTTAATAAAGTGAAATTTCTAATTGCAAAATGAATGTTCTTGAGACATTATAGCATTTTTTTTTTGCAATTGTCCAGCGCATGAAATCGTAACTGTTATCTTATGTCTGAACATACTTGCAGTAATCTTGCATCGCAGAGAGTCTATTCTTCAATGCTGTCCTTCACTGTACCAGACATAAGCAGTACTGTATCGAAATTAATGGCATTGGGAGCTGAGTTGGATGGGCCTATCAAATATGAGATCCATGGAAAAGTATTTCTCTATATTCCCATAGTTTCCATTTATGATTGTATTTCAGGATCTCAGAATCATTTATATGATGGTATGTTTCTTTGGATTTTCTATTTCTCCCAATGCAGGTTGCAGCATTGCGATGCATCGATGGGCACATGCTAGGCCTTTACGAGCTGGCTTGAAGAACTCATGCCACAATGAAAGTAACGAAAACCTCCATTTTTCGCTCGCTGAAGACTGATGTGTATGTCCATTTGTTCCTGGCAAAAGATCTTTTGGCGTAACTCAACTCACTGGGCCTGGTGTGCCTGAAGTGGCAGAACTCCTTTTTCGTTAGCAAAATCATGAGAGACACTGTAGATGGTTTACAGCAGCTGAACAATTATCGATCATTCTCTGCCTCGTACTGCTGGTAGTTATGCTGCACGTTTTCTCTAACTGAATGCACCTAGCAGGTCGTCATGCTAGGCTGAAGCCAAATTTGAGTGGTCCTGCTCGGTCATAGCCTTGTCTTATTACATTGTGTCAGTATATCTAGTTCAACTTTCAATTCTAGTTTTACAATGTGTACCTAGTATGTAATTGAAATTCTTATATAATATAAGCACTTGTTTTGAAAATTAACCATAGAAGTGCTGTTAACTTGTCTAAACTTCATGACAACATCTAATCCCCTTCCTTTCAGATCCTACAACCATCAGCCTGTTCGTTTCGGCTTATACGATCGTGAATTATAAGCTGGAACGGTATTTTTCTCTCACACCAAATCAGCCAGCAGTACTTCTTACTTATAATCCACGATCGTTTCAGCCGAAACGATCAGGCTGCATACCCTTGTAACTGCACTGTTCTATTTTACACTTCAGTCATCCTTGCCTTTTCACTGGTTTGCCAGAACAGGAAGTGCTGGGCTTCTGGCTCTCCAGGTAACACGCGCTTCGCTAGCTGTGGCGCGTGCTAACCTATGTGACTGAGCGATCTGTTGTTCTTGGTCTCGGGAGCATCATGGCTGTATGAGCACCCTTTTCTGCCTGGCCGAGTACTCATCACAACTTCACAAGTCCAGCCGTCCAGGGCTCCAAAGGCATCATCAGCAAGCATTGAGTAGCAAGCACACCAACCAGATGCCACTTGCATTGCATCCCCCACGTCAACAAAACGCCCAGCAAATGCCAATCACTTTTACCTTTGTCCTTGGCCGTTATCCTACTATGTGTTACCAATTTTTTTTGTTGTGTGCCTTGGCGCCTTGCTATGTGCTAGTAGCTACTACTTTAGTCAGAGATGAACTACTACACCAAAGCTACCGCGTCCCAATCACTCTGCAGCTGCTGTAGTCATGCCAGTAGGCCACTGCCAACGCATGCATATTCCGTCAGTTCTGCCAACGCATGCATCAACTGCTCCTCAACGGGAAAAGAATGGAATGTATGAGTGTCCTGTCGTCGGATAAGCGTCCTGTGCTCGCGCTGAAGACGGCGAGGTTTGTTGCTTTGCTGCCGGGATCGTCTTGTTGTTGGTTGGTTTGGGAGTTTGGCCAGTCGCTCTCGGCGGTTGCCGGAGCCCGGAGGGGAAAGCTAGCCTGATCAAAGCGTCTGCTCCTGTATCTGGTAGGTGAGGCACCAGCTCATCTCGTGCTCCGTATTGCACGGTGAGCATGACTGCACGAGGGGTTCAGATGAAGGCAAACCGGACTGCGTGCCGAAATTTGACTTACGCTGACTCGTTGTGAGAGAAAAACATTGTTTATTCGTTGAAAAATATTGCTAAAGTAGTTGAAACGAACATGCCATAATCGTCCAGCCGGCCAATAACGCCCATGGCCTCGAAAATAAAAGCAGGGTGAAATGCAGTTTCGGGTCCTAAATGGCTAAATCTTAGTCGTCTTTCTTCCTTTTACCGAGTGTATCGAGCTGAAGGTCGTTGATCGTACAGCAGAGATACAAAGGCACAGTGAACTGCGGCCATGAGGCATTCATAGAAGACGCCTGTTGCACATGCGTTAGTGCCGTTATAGTTTTTTCTTAGCCCGTGTTTAGTTCCAACCCAAATTCCTAAAAAAATGCTACAGTAGTCATTACATCGAATGTTTACAATACGTGTATGGAGCATTAAATGTAGACGAAAAAAAAACTAATTGCACAGTTTGGTTGGAAATCACGAGACGAACGTTTTGAGCCTAATTAGTCCATGTTTGAACACTAATTGCCAAATAAAAACGAAAGTGCTACAGTAGCCCAAAATCCAAAATTCAGCCAACTAAACACGGGCTTACTATCTCTACTAACGTCAAAAAGTTTTACGCTTTATGTTTCAATCATATCAACTAACCTAAAAACTAGATTATAGGAAAGTAAAAACACCCGACCAAAGTATTATCTGGAGTGGTGGTAATTTATTAGGGAGCTACTAGCACCCATGCATCCGATCGGATACTGATCTGTTGGACGGTACCATAGTCGCGCCCATGCAGGGGACCACACGACCCAGATGTCGTCTGCACACCCCGACCACACGCGGGACCGTCTACACCCACTAGGTGGCCCCCCAATAGCTGCAGCAGGTAGCTGCGACAGATGAGTCTCATTACAACATGTGCACCATCATATTTACTTTTGCAACATCCATATGGAATACTTGCGACGTACGTCCGAAACGGCTGAAACACTTACAACATACGTTTGAAACACTTGCAAACACAAGGAAAAAAACTTCAAAACATGTGTGTAGCTATTGCAAACATATGCAACATCCAGATGAAACACTTGCAACATACGTACGAAACACCTGAAACACTTGAAACATACGCTTATTACAACATGCATGTATATACAATATCCAGATCTACTTTTGCAACATGCAGATAAAACACTTGCAACATAATCTGATACAGATGAAATATTTAGAACATATACTTGAAACATATGTGTATAGCTATTGCAACATATGCAAGCATCCTACTCTAGTTTTGCAACATCGACATAAACACACTTGCAACATACCTCTGAAACACCCAAAACACTTGAAACATACGTTTGCAACATACGTGTCGGATACCATAAAAAGGGGTATCCTAAGCAAGAACCGAAAGGATTGCTTAGGACCTCGCAAATATCAAAGCCAAAGGACAATCACAGGGTCTCGGTCGATTCTCCGACTCGCCTGAAGCCCGCGTCGCAACGACTCTCCGCCTCGCCGAGGCCCTCTCGTGCCGAGGCCCCGCTCTATAAGGCCTCGAACGGGTTACCGATTCTCCGATTTGCCCGAGGCCCCGCGAGTGAAGCCTCGGACGAAGTACCGATTCTCCGACTCACTCGAGGCCGGCTCGGCAACAACCTCGTCGCCTCCGCCTCGACCGACTTCTCTGACAAAACGTCACGCGTCCAACCACTCCCACGACGTCAGCCTCACATGGGCGCAGTACAGCAGGGTGGCCGACGGGACGTGAGACAAGACGAAACAGGGGTTACTGGCCACTGTGCTCAGCACCGCACCCATGCCTGGCGCCCGTACTGCACTGTGCTACCTAATTCCTGTTCCAAGAGCAGCACGGCGTGGGGAAGTAGGCACGGGTCACTGTAGCCTCGGAATCAGTGCATGAGACCAACTACTCCCTCCAAGGCCTCGGCAATCCACTTCCAGGTCTCGGCAGCCTCGGGATTCGTGCCCACCGAGCCCCCCACGATGGCTCGGCCTCGGCACCAACCGAGCCTCGGCTCTTTTCACCGTCAACCCATAGCGACCAGCACACCGTCGGCCATACCCTGCATCAAGCTGTCACTAGAGCGCCCACGTCATACGAAATCGGGTGTGACCGGCGCGTTGCTCCAGTACATCAAGGACAAGACCACTCTGTTGACTATGCCGCTACAGTAGTAAGCTGCAGGACTCCAGCACGCCACCTTCACTCGCCGCATGGCGAACACTTGTATCACCCCCGTCCCTCCTTCAACTATAAAAGGGGAGACCGGGGCCATTCTTAAGGAGAGGCACTCACGAGCTCACGGAGATAGGCTCGCGTAGACATACGCTCTCCCAAGCTGCCTGAGAGCAACGTCTCAAGCAGCCTGCACCGTTCCACGCCGAGACCTGGGACTAGCTCCCTCTCTCACCCAGTTTGTAACCCCCTACTACAAGCACTTCGGTGCAAGGAATACAAGATCGATCTCTCAGACTGGACGTAGGGCGCCAATTACCTGAACCAGTATAAACCTTGTGTCTCTTTACATCACCATCTAGGATTAGGGGCACGCAGTTCACATTTACTAGTTGGTTGAGGACCCCCCAGTCCAAAACACTGACAGTTGGCGCGCCAGGTAGGGGTCTCTGCGTGTTAGCTTGATCGTCCCAACAAGTTCCGGATGGCTGACCACATACGCCCACTACGTCTCGGCACGGTGGTCTGGTTTGGGAGCCTAGAGTTCATGTGTCTAGGATGTGGGTACGATATGGTACTCCTCGCACCCAGAGCCCCACCAGCCGACGACGACGTCACGCATCCGCAGCCCGGGCGCAGGCGCCACCCAGGCCGCCGCTCTCGTCGCGCTCGCTAGGCACGACGCGAGTGGGACTACCCCGACACCGCACGAGCTTAGGGCGGCGCGCCGCACTTCGCCAGCATCCCATGCCCGGACGTTGGTACAGAGTCCCTGGCTGGGGACCTGTCTAGCTTAAGCCTGGGCAGGGGAAAGACGCCGGTAGCGCGCAGCGACGTCCCGTCGTCAAGCTCTACCCCGCCACACCCTGAGGAATCGACTCAGGCGGAGCGGACCCTAGCGGTGGCACCATCCCTGTATCCCTTCGGGCTGAACAACATCGCCGCCACCTACGCTTTCGCTTGCGCCTCCACGCACACGGAGCCCTCGGGACGCCACCAACGATTCGCCCTCGACTTCTCCACCACAACCTCGACCCACACCAACACAGACTCCTCAGAGGAGGACGAGGTGTGGGCTGGAGCGGACTTCTCCCGGCTTCGTGACCCTGAGGCTATGCGCCGCTTCTTGGCCGCAAGCGACTACTGCTTCGGCTACTCTGACTCCTATGACGAAGGCACTTACGATCCCACTCGAGAGTGTTTCCACATCGGGCTCGAAATGCCAGGGGCAAGTAATGAGAGTGAAGGGGCAGGCAACCGCTCCCTGCTCCGCCAAGGGGCGGGAGACGCCACACCCCCGCTCGT